TCACATCATCAGTATTATAACTGGATTTATGGAACTTAAATACCATAGCGAAGCATGGGTATCAGCCTAGTGCTAGAATAAAACCTTGTTTAAAATGGCATACAGTTCCTGTTTAATATTTGTGGTAATGGCTACTACTCTAGATATACTGCCTTTGATCAAATGTGAAGAATATTATTATGCTTGATAGGTAAGCTGGCAAGAGTCATTTAGTGCTTAAACATTGTTATACTGTAACATTGCTGTGTGCAGCGTTAAGTTAAATTTAGTCAAAGTATGAGGATGTGGCAAACTGGGTAACAAACCAAGATGTCTAGACATAGCTGATAAAGCAAAGCTGTGGTCTGGGAAAAAGAAACTGTTTTGCAAGATGTATATAAAATCGTAAGTATTCCAGATAGAGGCAAAAAGGCATATATGCTTGGCAAAAGTAAGGTAAAGGTAAAGGTTCCCTTGCTCGAAAGCCAGTCGAATCCGACTCTAGGGTTGCGGTGCTCATCTCCGTTTCAAAGCCGAAGAGCCAGCGCTGTCCGAAGACGTTTCCGTGGTCATGTGGCCGGCATGACTAAACACCAAGGCGCACGGAACGCTGTTACCTTCCCACCGAAGTGGTACCTATTTATCTACTTGCAATTTCTTGCTTTCGAACTGCTAGGTTGGCAGGAGCTGGAACTAGAGACGGGAGCTCACTCCGTCATGCAGCACCCGGGTCTCGAACTGCTGAACTACTGACCTTCCACAGCCTGCAGTTCAGCGTCTTAACCACTTGAGGAATGAAGCATAACCTCTGTAATTTAAGGAGTCGGACTCGACTGTGCGACTGAACAACAAAAACACATGTCTAAATGTAGTTTTTCAAACTCTCCCCTCCCTGCATGTTGTTTCTTTGCCTCCCCCAAGTCCCACAATAGTTCTTCTATTTGTAAGAATCATTTGCAAGGCAGTTGTTTACAACCTCTAAACAAAGCACACCCACATCACCAAAGAAGACCTGAGTTCGAAAGAGCATAAACTTCTGTCTTTGCTTCTATGGGGAGGGTGGGGGAGACCCACGCCGCTGCCACTTCACTATAACCATAAAGTCCCGGAATTCTCCAGCAACTCTATACAAGTGATCACCACTCCCGTATCAAAAGTAACCAGGAAATCCGGTCTGTATGCAAAGCGATTGCCCCTCTAGCACTTCCTCATAAGGCATACAGGAAGAGACACCCCCCCCCCTGTTTTAAATATACGGTCGACCGCATTTCCTGTGTCCGTGAAGGCAGTAGCCACACAACAACGGAAGTTCCTGTTGCGAATAACGTCCGGCGAAGAATACGTGTCCCTTCAGTTTGGTTCCACCGCTGAGGATCCCATGCCCTGGTTGCCGGAGCTTGGCCAAGGTCGGTGCCCGCTTGACGACAACGACGAGGGACCGCCGTTGCTACCATGGCAAACAGTGGCAGCCTGACGGCGACTCCTTCACCCGAAGACGCGCCCGACACTGACGACTCCACCACTCGCGACCCCAGAATCTCAGCCTCCTCCTCTTGGGAATGTCGCGCGGGCCTGCCTAGCGTCTTGCGTGTTGTCTCGGAGGAGAAAGTCGGAGCTGCTGAGGAGCTTTTGGGCCCTCCGCAGAACGGGTGAGGAAGGCGCCTGAATGGGTGGGTGTGGGAGGGTTGCCTCAGGATGGAGGCCCAAAGTCCTCTAGAATTAGATGAACGAGAAAAGAAGTCACTGCGCGAACTCGGGGGGGAGTGAATTGAGATGCTCTTTACTGGTGTGATGACTAGGAAGGGTGGAAATTGCAGACTCCCTCTCTCACTACTCTGGTGCTGAGGCACCTAAGGCTTAGCGAGGTCTGTAACTATTCCTCCTTTACTTCTGTGTGGCCACCTTCTCTGTTAATGGTGTATGATATGCGAGTTCTCTCTTTGGTCGCCTAGTTTCTAGATTCCATCTCAGTAGCACCTTAGAGACTAACAAGATTTTCAGAGTATAAACTTTTGATAATCCAGGTTCCCTTCATCAGACCCGTTTCGTTGGACACTCGAAAACTTATATCCTGAAACCCTTGTTGGGCTGTTAGGTACTACTGAGCTGCAATCTAGCTGTTTTACTGTTCCCTGGAAGGCCAGATAATGAAACTGAAGCTCAAATACTTTGGCCACCAAATGAGAAGGGAGCACTCACTGGAGAAGACCCTGATGCTGGGAAAGATTGAAGGTCAAAGAAGACGGGACGGCAAAGGATGAAATGGTTACACAGTGTCATAGATGAGGCGATGGCAGATGGCTGTTTTCCTGCATCCTCAGGGTGTGTGTGGACCTTTCTGCTACTGTTATTCACACAAACTAACTACTCTCAAAAAACGTTTCTGCAGCTTGTCATACATAGGCAAGCTTTATTTTATTTAAAGGTGGTCTGCCCAGTGTTGTATTTGGTCACGTTGATGAAGGGTGTTTTTCTGCATCCTCAGGGTGTGTGTTGACCCATCTTCAACAGTACCTTTCTGCTACTGTTATTCACACAAACTATTGCCCCCTTCTCAGATGGGAGGGAGGTCATCACCTCCAATCCTGCTTGTCATTTTATACAGTTTGGATATTGGCAGTAATTAAGAAACATTACCATTCCATTTTTAAAATAGGCTTTGGCTCCCTGCAGGTATGCTGCTTTAGCCACATCCATAGGTAGGTCAGTGCACATTATTCATATTCAAAATTCCTATCTATTCTGTTTTGAGAAGCTGCAACCTCTGACCTCTACCTTCATTCGTTCTGTATAACAACCACATCTGTTCCAGTCCCTTTCACAGGAACTAACACAATGATTTACAACAGGTTTGTATGGTACAGCTCCTTCTCCCCTCTTCCATGGAGTTTGGGAGGGTTCTTCATAAAATTCTTTTTTTTTAATTCCATGTCATGTGCACTTGACTCATGAAAATTTATCCTTGAATAAACACAGTCAAAGGTGCCACTTGATTTCTGTTTTATTTTATTGTATTTAAAGAAGAGGTTTTTCCTAGCTATGAGATATTTTTAGCTGGCGATTCCAGGACTGAATCTTTGATCTCCTATAATAAAAGTATGTGTTTAACTGCTAAGATATGGCCTCTTCCAAAGACTTGGCTGCTGTCAACTGTACAGTGTCCATTAATACTTTTGGAGGAGGTGCTGTATGGTTCTTTGAACAACTTCTTGGTGTCTAGATTTTGTTCTAGCTCAAAGTAGCGTAGCCCACCCTAATAGAAAAGAGTAATCACAGTGTCCGTTAATACTTTTGGAGAAGGAGGTGCTGTATGGTTCTTTGAACATCTTCTTGGTGTCTAGATTTAGTTCTAGCTCAAAGTATCGTAGCCCACCCTAATAGAAAAGAGTAATCTCATGCCAAATTATGTCCAAGAAAACTTAGTATAAATTCATGACAAAAGCAGAGTACTAGAAATTGTATTCACGTAGTTGTGATATTGAATTGGGTAAATTGTCTGATGCTATTTTATATCAGTTTAAACCCACTAAAAAGGTTAATTAGACAGTTATGTGAAAATTAAAAATTTGAATGTGTAAATCTAATATATGAATTTATAACTCAAAAGCTTTACAGCCCAGTGTTATACGAAGACAGTTAAAAATGTGATGTTTTACGTAAGAAACTGAACTGCTTAACATAATTTTTACAGTCTACTTCTGGCATGAGAAATGTTTTATGAGTTGCTCAGTCATCAAATATATGTAGTGCTGCATTATACAGTGACAGGTCTGTGGGGTATCATTCTTAGCATTTTGCAGGTATGGGGTTCAGGCCATATAAGTACAAGCGGGAAACCACAAGGACTTGTGGGAGGCACCTGTTTTGTAGGGTGGACTTTATGGCATTATATTTTGCTGAGTTCTCTCCCCTCCCCAAACCCCATCTTCCTCATATTCCACCACAAAACGTCCATTTAAATGCCTCCTGAACTCACTCGCGGCACGCCACAATGGTGGCACAGCTTGAAAGAGTTCCCTGGGCGCCAGCATGTCTGGCCCATGGACCTCCTAAAAAAAATCATGGTCCGTGGGCAGTCCGTCAAAACTACAAATGCACAGACTAGGCAAATGGACCATGAACTGGGTCCCAGTCTGTCACAAAAATAGGTCTGTGGATGGGTCCATGCCCATCCCTACTGTTTTTGTTAAGTACAGCTTATTGTGAACTATACCGAAGAGAAAAAGTTATACTTCTATGATCTGCAATTATAAACACTTTAAACTGTGTAACTTAAAATCTGATGTCCCCCAACCTTTTTTATAGTGAGAATGTTGTGGTTCTGGAAGGATGTTTAAATAATGAAAACATAGCTCCATGTTTTCTCTACTTGCATTGTGATCCCCATGGTTCTGAAGAAATTATGAGTCTTGGCATTATTAGCGAAGCACGGAACATGGAATTATATATAGGAGAAGAATATTGTGGAACTGGTAGAGGAGAAAAAGTCCTTGCTATCCAAAATGGCAGGTTAGTAGCTTTTTCTTTTTGGATTGTTCAGTCGAATTTTGAGTTAGGACATCACTATTACAGCCTTACAATATTGTCATTATTCCACAAGCCTTTTTACTAGTCAGCTTGCCTGTCCGCTGTGTGTCATTCATTTGTGGCACATTGCCGGTCTAAAAGGGAAGAATTATGTTCATTCCTGTTTACAAAACCTTTCCCTTCCTGTCCATCTGGAGGCAATTCTTGCTTGCCAATAACAATAACATAACAATATAACCTAAACCTAGCACAATTAGGCTGGGTTATTTCTAATGAGCAGGACATTTTTAAGATGACATCTCCATACTGTTTTTAGAGACAGGAAGCACTGGCGTATTCAACAAAGTAAAGTATACAGATATGTCTCTTAAATGCTCATGAGTTGCCATTGGATTAAATAAGGTGGGGGGTGGATGGAAGAGCTGGATATTGACTATGGTATTGTGCTGTTGTGATGTACATTGTGGAAGGCAATGCTGCTGGGGTTTTGTTTCCCTTACTGACTTGGGCATTGGTGTTAGCTTGCAGATAGTTTTTAGTTTAATGCAAACAGGCAGAAAGCAAACTTTTCTGCTAGTTGGGAAGCTCTGTTTTAGTTTAGAAAAGAAGCCCTGCTCTCCAATATCAAGAGGTTGAAGTGGTAGAGAAGATGACGGATTGTAATCAGACTGTGTATGGATAGGCAAGGGTAACTGGCTTCAGTTCTAAAGGTTATTGCAAAAGGAAGGTTATCTGGTCATGTCTGGTCAGTCTCTCCCAGCAATTCTGTGGGATGGGGCCATGTACATATGAGATATATAGTCCAAATGGTGATACACTGGAACCAAACTTAAATGGATGAGTGTCTGTACCACACACATGCAAAAGCAATTTTTCCTTGTGCCTGATGCTGATAAGGTATCTGGCCTTATCCAAATTACTTAGAAAGCATCAAAGATGCTGAAATTTTCAATCATTTGTAAATCTAGAAATATTTCATATTGGGTATTACAAATGCAAGTATTATCTTGAAAAACACAATAGACTTAACTAACGATGTTGTGTTGTTAAATTAATCTAACATTGTTCTGTAGAAGGTTCACAGCATATTTATTTTATTTTCTAGAAAAAATGACCAGGTTACATTATACAAAAAATATCTAAAATTGGACTGCCCCACAACCTCTTGTAAAGTTAAGGTAGGAAGTACCATAAATTATTTCTTAACTTTGGGAATCATGTTTTTCAAATATTTATTTTAGATCTGAACTAGCCAGTTGGTGTTGGAAGAAAGATACAAGGCTGTAGCTTATACTTGAAGAGATAAATTTCCTCTCTTTTTAATAAGGAGATGCATTTTGGCCATAGGGTTCTTATTCCTATTGGCATAGTACATATCTTCCTCTTAAAGACAATATTCCAATTTTTTAAGAAATAAGAGTCAAGGAATTTAGGTAGGTGAGGAGTAATTTCTGTAAACCACAGACAGATGGCAGAAGTAAACCATGCACCAGGGGCAAGCCAATAGTCTTCAGAACCTATGGCTACTTTATCCTGGGAGAGTATTTCCTTTCACATTCTAAACCTCAGTTACTAAATGCTGATGAATATGGCCATTCCTTTGCCCCTGGGCCATTGGCTTCAGTTTAGCTTCTGGATATATGCCCAGCTGTGGGAAAACTGGTTTGGGAGGAAATTATGGGGCAAAAGATTCAGCAGCTTTCCTCCTCCCATCTGCCCATCATTTCTTCCCTGATTATGCCTTTCATTATTCAGTAAACATTGGTTCTGGATCTTATTTTTGCTGTGTTAATGGGTGCATCTGCCACATGTCACAGAATTTATACAAACTCTGAATAGCCACACTTTGAGGAATGATTATTCAAATGATTTTCAGGCTAATTTTAATGTAGCATAAGTTTTAGTATGGTGCATCCTACTTCATCTCTATGGATCTGCTTATATACCTAGATTCTTGTGGTTGTATCAGTCCTAACATCAGCTATAGTCATGATCCGGGATCTGCTGGGCTCTGTGTCCTGACAGAGGGCCCACCACCAATTGGAGTTAATAATCAGAGCTGTAGAAGATGCTTGTGTCTTTGCTGAGTTTTAAGAATTGTCTCTTAGATTCCGGGTGTTTTGTATAAAAATTAACAAACTTAATTTAATAATTTCACCAGTTCTTCACTACAACAGTGTGTATCTTTCTTTGCTAGCTACTTTCCATCAAAGAAAAAAACAGAGTGCTCATCAGCAGAATCTTAGTGCAAGTTTCTATGAAACCCATGCCAAACTTTTCTGCATTAGGATCAGGGATTGACTTGGACAGAGTGCAAGCTATAATGGAGTCTATGGGATCAAAATTGTCACCTGGTGCTCAGCAGCTCCTGGATATGGTTCACTTTCAACAAAAGGTAAGGTACTGCTTATAAAATACTAATGATGCACTTGGGTGACTGAGAGAGAGCCCGCATATTGAAGGGCCTTTGAGGAGTCCCCAATGTATTTGTTTGGTTGTTTATTTATAAAAACATTTATATCCCACTTTCCTCATGGTTCAAGCAGCTTACAATAATAGTTAAAAATATTTTCAGTTTAAAACCAAAAATAAAATAACAAATACCATATCTCCCCTCCCCTCTAATTTCTATGTGCTTAGCACACCAGTTGTATCCCCAATGAGCTTCCTGTCCATGGGCCCAGCCAGTGTCTGGATTAAAGAGTCTTCTCTTACATGTGATCTAGACTAAGACTATAAAACTAAATTGGTGCTATTGTGTAATGACTTAGTCCCTACTGATATATGCCTGCCCTCCTAGCCTTGTTGAACAGCATAATTAAGAGAGATACAAGTTCCCCCCCCCCAATCATATCTAGGATTCTGAAAAGTAGGCAATGAAAAAACTAATAGAAATTAATATATTCTCCCCTTCCATAGCCATTTTCCTTTGTCCTAAAATGAAGCACACATCTAGGATAAATTGTTCTTCTTCCCCTTCTCTTTGGCCTGTTTGGTGTAGTGGTTAAGTGTGCGAACTCTAATCTGGGAGAGCCAGGTTTGATTCCCCACTCCTCCACTTGCACCTGCTGGATGACCTTGGTCAAGCCATAGTTCTGGAACAGCTGTTCTTGGAAAAAGAGCAGTTTCTGTCAGAGCTCTCTCAGCCCCACCTACCTCACAGGGTGTCTGTTCTGGGGAGGGAAAGGGAAAGGAGTTTGTAAGCCGCTCTGAGACACCTTTGGGTAGTAAAGGGTGGGGTATAAATCCAATCTCTTCTTCTTCTTCTTTATTCTCCATATTTACTCTGTAGAAGCCCCTAACTCAATTGTCTTCCTGTGTTAGTGATTATGTTGATAGTTAGGGTTTGTAGAAACACAAGAACTGAGGCTATAGTTCAATAGGAAATAGTTAAATAACACACAGCAAATAATCCACCAAACTGAGGGGTGATACAACAGTAATGAAAATGCAGTCCAAGGTTATTGAATCAGTTCAAGGTGGACAAATCTGAACAGATGCATATTGGCTGTGCTTCACAGATGTGCTTATATGGTGTCATATATAACAAGTTCATGTGTCCATGCAATTTATTTCCATTAGAATGGTCTCTCTGTTGGAAACAAGTTACAAAATATCTTTGGGAGAACAGGATCTGTGTTTAGAAACAATCATGCTGTTGCTGGATTGCAAAAGGCATCTGATCTTGGAAGACTAAACCACTTGCTGAATGGTCCCTCTTCTCTTAAACCTGGTTCAACAGCTGGAAAAATTCCAGGGGATTTAAAAACCTACATAGACAAACAAACACCTAGCACTGATAATGTTTTTCAGCCTCCATTGGTTCTCACACCACAGCATAATACCATACTTTCTCAAAATGACTTTAAAGGCTTGGTGTCATCATTTTTACAAGAGCAAACAAATGAAAACTCAAATACACCGAGTTCTACATTTCTGCTTCCATTTCTTCAAACTGTATGTGGTCAAGTAAATCGCTTGCGAACAGATGAAAAGAATGAACACTATGAGAACAAGTCTGCATCTATGTCTGAAGATGACACAGCTCAAACTGTTCGGTGAGTTTTTGGCTTGGTATTGTATGTAAACTTTTTATCCTGATGGAAGGATATGGTTGTCTCAACAGGTCAATGCCCCAGATAAATATTAAGTAGAAAGTAATTTTTCTTCCCTCCCTAGTCTTGGGCTGTTGGATTATTATACATGGTTGAGAACTGAGCACTGAACTGCCTGATCAGGATCTCAGAATGGCAGCTTAGGACATTAGGATCATGAGAGTTGTTCTAACAAATCCATCCTTGTCACTATCTAATGTTTAGATACAGGAACTCTAGGGAAAAAATGACCTCTTGAGCTTAGATCTGTCCTGTATCCTTGTTTTAAGCGCATCCATCAAAGACAGCAGGCAGTTTTATGCAGGGGTGGGCTGTGAGTGGAGCAAATCTTTGTGTTTTTCTGAGCACTTGTTCATGTTGCTTTTACTGAAACTTGCCTCTAGTCCTAAATATTTGTGTTGCTGAGTTTTATATGATTTCAGTGCAAGTTCTTAGACTCTATACCTCAACTGGTTCTGACAATGAAAAAATAGAATAGTTGGGATTTATTTTAGGTAATGTTTGCTTTTTAATCTGGATTCAAATTAAAGTTCCCATTAATTGCAGACCCTTTGGTCAATGGAATGGAGCTTTTCTGCTTCTCCCCCAGCAACAGTATTTTGGGGATCTGAGTGGGCTGCAGTGGGAGGGAGGGGGAGGCAGAAAAGTTCTGTTCCATTGACAGAAATGCCCTACATTTAACAGAAAACGAGCTGTGGATCTACTACAGAGAACCCTTTTGCTAATAATTGAGAGTGGGAAGGCTGCTGCCTCTATTGGAGAGATTATACAGATTGGCAATTCTTTATAGTGACATTGCAGGCACAGGTTCCAGATCATGAATGCGTGAGAATATATTGAATATAATTTAGGATATTTTGGCTATCAAGAAATCTACGAATGAAACGGGCGGAAATCTAGATGCTTTTTGGCCAGATTGATATAACTGCAATTGACAGTTTTCACGTTGAAGGCTGAAGCGTCGGACAATATTGCATATTCTCTACATGGAAGCGGACTTGTTTATAGGGTTTCTGTCCTTTAGTTATTGCTTTTGGATTTAACATGTCCTTTAGTTATTGCTTTTGGCCCCACTGGTGGACCTCCTGATGGCACTGGTATTTCTGGCCACTGTGTGATACAGAGTGTTGGACTGGATGGGCCTTTGGCCTGATCCAACATTGGCATCTCTTATGTTCTTATGTTCTTAACATAATATGTATGAACATATGTTAAGATTCTTTGATTGTATATTATACATGATGTTCTGAGCCTTTAAAATGCTTCATCAGACAAATTCGCCATCTGCTTAAGATGGTCATTGACTTCTCTTAATAAGTAACTCGGATACAAACAGGTTATGAACAAGTATTTTATTGGATGACAATTTTTGTCACAGTGATTTTTTGATTATTTTTCTTGTACTTTTCACACCGTGACCCCATTGTTGTATATGATTACCTTCTGTTTGGTGTAGTGGTTAAGTGCACGGACTCTAATCTGGGAGAACCGGGTTTGATTCCCCACTCCTCCACTTGCACCTGCTGGATGACCTTGGGCAAGCCATAGTTCTGGCACAGCTGTTCTTAAAAAAGAGCAGTTTCTGCCAGAGCTCTCTCAGCTCCACCTACCTCACAGGGTGTCTCTTGTGAGGAGGGGAAGGGAAAGGAGTTTGTAAGCCGCTCTGAGACTTCCTTGGGTAGTGAAGGGCGGGGTATAAATCCAATCTCCTCCTCCTCCTCCTCCTCCTGTTGAAGCATCTTAAAATAGATGATAAAGAGTGTATTTTTAAAAACTGTTTTGTCTTTGTAACATTTGTGCGTCTATTTCCTACAGAGTGGAACAACAGCCTATTTGCCTCTACCTAGAAAAAATAATCTCCAGACATATGGAAATGATGGAGAAGAGATTAACAGACTATATTGATATGCGTGTGCAGAAACTTCAAGAACACCTTGATTCTAAAGTGGCTGCAATAATGGGTTTGATTCAGAATTCCAAAAATGTTGCACAAGATCATGATCCTACAAAAGAAGGAAACTCTAGTGGGAATATATAGGCGGTCTTTGAAAGATCTTAATGTAATTTCCAATGTCAAGTATTTATTTTGCTAGCCTTTCAAAACTTCATGGTTGTGAGCTTGCAAATATTTAAAGCCTCAGTGTTTGTACTTGTTTTTGCATTTCCCCCCCAGTATTGTATGCTAATGTTTGTATACCTGTAACTTGCAAAACACAATTTTTTTACAGTTGAAAGAATTTTTCTACATCTACTTTATACATATTTATTCATAAACATTTCCAAAAAATTACTTTTGGGAATCTTTATCAGTCTCCTATTAAACAATGGGAGATGTACTCAAAAAATTAAAAAAAAGTTATTTATGGCATTATAGCTAATTAGTTTCCTAGCTGTAACAAGCAACACATAGTAAAATTAAAATTAATTCCCTTATTTTGGTTATTTAAATACTGTATCTTTCCAAGTAATATAGAAATATTAGATTGGAAGGCATGGTGGGGGTGGAGTGGGGATGTTTCTATCACTGTTAACTTATCATGCAACCTTAACATGTCGTTCTGAAAGTGTATGCCCCATTCCTTGGTCTGATCATCTTGTATTACCATACGCTGTAGAAATTGAGTATGATACTCTAGTATAAATACTGTTCATCACTGAGTTTCTGCAGCATTGTGAAACAAACCAAATTGTCTGAACAAAGAAACTTAATTTATCTGTGTTTGTCATATTCTTTAGTTTATATTCTGCTAAGGAGAAAATACAGAAATCACTTGCCGTGCTTTTGTGCATACATCCTCCTAGGTACACACACAGAAATAAAAGTGTTTTTGTAGTTTCCAGCCCATCTGCCCTTCCAAATAGGCACATTTTTTTCTTAATTCCTGTTTCAGCCAGCATTTTCAGTTTTATCTAACATTACGGATGTTTACATGCTTTATTTGAAATAAGTAACATTTCATGGAAAGGTAGGTCTCTGAAAACACAATCTTCTGAAGCATGTCTGTGTAAAGAGGGGGGATTCAAACTGAAGCAGCTGGTACAATATGCCCATTAATAGCTTTGCAGTTTCTGATATCTGTATCCTTGTTGCCGGCTGATGAAATGCTTTGCTGCCAGAGCAACCAGAAGGACAGCATTTGTTACCAACGCAAGAGAGGTAAGGATATACAGGCCGTTGGCCTGCCCGTCCTGGCTTTTTTCAGGATGTACTTGAGCAGAAGAACCTGAATGTAGGGGGAAAAGATAAACTGGATATAAAATGTCCTCAGTCATGTACACTGGTATTAATCATATCCTGGTTTATAATCAACACTACTTTTCAACAATTGTTATTTGACTAATACATCCCCTTTCACTTTGATCAGCTTCTTTTTATTGGTTGGATGTGGATAGGGGATGAACCGTTAGTTCCCTGCCCATCAGTGGTTTTGTTCCGTTTTTGCAAGCTGAATTACTGGACTACTAAAGATCTTTCTTTGTAAAGCCTGGTTTATAAAGACAGTGAAATCTGCATTTGTAAAATGAAAAGTAAGAAGCAAGGCCTGTGTTGTACCTACCTGAGCGATCTACAGAACTGTGATCTCTTTTCAGTCTGAGAGGTCCCACCATTGCTTCCCCTTTCCATTTGTAGGACGAAATCTCTCTTTTATGGCGAGAGATGCAGTTTTTAGTGCAGCGAGAATTAGAATCGTTGCTGTCACAAATTAAAACTTCACAGTGGATGTAAACAGATGGATGGCTCCGCAGGAATCTGAAGGAACTGAACCTGAACCTCCCATAATGTTCAAGGACTGGGTAGGCCACGTATGTGTTATCTTTGGCACAGCTGTAATAGAATTTTGTGATTAGCTTGAAAAGATCAGATCAGCTTGATCCTGTTTTGCAACGAAATGAGATATTTACCAGAAATGAAAGTTCTATGCAGAGGTTCCCAAATCAATGTTTAAAACTGAGAGGACCTGTTAAACCGAAGTGTATTGCTGGTGATGATACAAAAACAATTCTACTTGAATTAGGCCACCTGTCCATTTTTGCCTGCCGGCATTTAAGATGTCTTGAGCAGACACAAGTTTGTTTGTAAGGAGTTGTTGCCATGCTTCCCTCTTGCTGTTCTCCCTTTCCCTTGCCCCTAGTGCGAATGAAAGCTTGTGGGTATTAAGTGACTTCAGTCAAGCTCCAGTTTGGTGCCTGGGCAAACTTGGAGTTTGTTTTTAAATCAAACTAAGATTCTAAGCCAGATTTCTAAATCCTGGTTTCTGTGAAAGAAATTACCTCCAATTTTACCAGGTTTCAGTCAAACAGCAAAATCAACTTTGTTCATTGGCTTTCAAAATCAGGAATCGTTCATTCACCATCTGTGTACAAAGGGAGGATGATCGGAGTGTACAACTACAGAAACGTGTCATATTTGAGCCCACTCTGAATAAGCATTCCTGATGTCTGAATGCAGCTATAATATACCAATTCCAGAATACTCCTAGATTCCATTGCAAAACAGCTACAAATAAGAGACAAAATACCAATTATTTGTGCTCCCTTTTTCTAATATTTTGGGGGGGGGGGGGAGTCCTTTGGGTATTAGACTCCCTGTGTTCTAAATCTAAATAAAGGTATCTGTATATCCCAAGATTATTAGAAGAAAAAGCAAATCAATAGGACTAATTCAACAGAATTTTCAACATGTTTATAGGATAGTTTCTTAAAACAAAGGTTACAATTTAAATTGATAAATGTTAAAAATAATTTTTGATAGTTGAAAGTGAAAACATTAATAACCAAATTATTTTTTAAAAATGTATCCTAAAGCAATCCTTTCATCCACTTTTATGTAGCTAACTCTTAGTTTAGTCAGCTTCATTTGTCTCCTTGTTCCAGCCACATCCTGGTGTCTTTCCATATGCTGGCACCTATGGCCAAAGTAGCCATGCTCTTCATTTGAAGAAGGCAACTGATTTTTATACTCTGCTTTTCTCTACCTTAAGGAGTCTCAAAGTGGCTTACAGTTTCCTTCCCTTCCTCTCCCCACAACAGGCACCTTCTGAGGTAGGTGGGGCTGAGAGAGTTCTGAGAGAACTGACTGATCCAAGGTCACCCAGCAGGCTTCATGTAGAGTGGGCAGGGGACGTTTCGTAGAAAAAGAGCTAGGGGAACTCATTAGCATATGCCACACCCCATGACATCACCGGAAGTGTGTCATAAGGCCACACCCCCTGAATGCGCTCGCCCGCTTTGGGAGAGGGGATCAAAGTGTAATACACACCTCCTCTGAGACTTGATCACACCAATCTCAACTCTCCCATGGGTCTTGATGCCTGCCAGTCATTCCCCCTGCCTGGAGGAAGCCGCGTTGGACCAAAATACAGTCCAAACTGCTGTAAGGAACACCCGTCCACCCTGAGCACTTACAGGGTGCGTCAAATCGCCATTTTACCCTGACCGGAAGCAGGGGGCGGGGCTTCGTCATGTGCCCCGCCCCTCACCCGGGGGAACAGCGATCTCCCACGATTCCCCCTGAATCGACCCCTGGGAGTGGGTAATAAAACCCAGTTCTCCAGATTAGACTCCCCCACTCTTAACCACTACACAACATGGGCTCTTTGTTAAACAGTTAATGCATTCCCTCTTGAAGACCATTTCTGTAGCAAGACCTTTCCTGTTTCTCCACTGCCCACTCATGAGCCAGCATGAAGGAATGGTAAGCATGTTTGACTGGGATCTGTCAGCCATGAAGCCTGCTGGGTAACCATGGGGCAATCATAGTCTCTCAGCCTGACTTAAGAACACACAAAGAGCCCTACTGGATCAGACCAGTTGTCCATTTAGGACAGCATCTTGTCTCACACAGTGGCTTCTGGTTCCTCAGGCATAGAAGCCAAGGCCTTCCCCTGATGTTGCCTCCTGACACAGGTACCCTGTTTCCCCGAAAATAAGACCTACCCAAAAAATAAGCCCTAGCAGGATTTCTATGCATTTGTGGTATAAGCTCTAGTGTGTCTTCTTGAGAAAAAATAAATATAAGTGTCTTATTTTCGGGAAAACTCGGTATTTGGAGGCTTACTGTCTTTAAATATGAAGGTTCCCTTAAATTGTCATGACTAGTAGTCACTGATAGACCTATCCTCTATGACTCACGCATGTCAAGAAGTATTTCCTTTTGTCCACCCTGAATATATTATCCATCAACTTCAGTGGATGCCCTTGAATTCTAATATTTTAAGAGGAAGAAAAGTCTCTCTTGTCTACCTCATGCATAATTTTACAAACCTCTATCATGTCCCTCCTTAGTCATCTCTTCCTAAATGGAAAAGTTCCAGAGTTGTCAACCTTTTCTCATAGGAAAGGTGTTCCTCTGTACTTTTTCCAGTTCTGCAATATCCTTTTTGAGATACGGTGACCAGAATTGCACATAGTATTCCAAACAGGCTGCACTGTAAATCCATACAAGGGCAGTATAACACTGGCTGTTTCATTTTCAATCCATTTCCTAATAATACCCAGCACAGCGTTTGCCTTACTTACTGCTGTTGCATATGACACTCATGGAGCTATCCACTACAACCCCAAGGTCTTTTGGTCTCAGCCAGTTCAGACTCTATTAGCATATATTTAAAATTGGTTTTTTTGTTCCAATCTGCATCACCTTACACTTACCTATACTGCAGTTCATTTGCTGCATCTTTGCCCACTTATCCAATCTGTGGAGATCCTTCTGGAGCTCTTCACGGTTGACATTGCTTTTCACCATCCTGAATAATTTTGTATCATCTGCAAACTTGACCACTACACTCCATCACCCAGTTCCATATTATTTATGAACAATATAAATGGCCTTGGATCCAATACCAAGTGTTTCAGTGCACAGTCATTATGTCTTGGAGCCTCATTTCTACAGTATGATTTGAATATATTTCCCTAGTCAATAACTGAAGTCACCTGTACCACAAAATTGGCTGCTTTAGTCACCTCCCTTATTTCCTTCTCCATCACAAGATCAGCCTCAAGGGTTTGACCAGGAAGGTGATAGTATATCCCCACTTTTAGGTAACCCTTAGGGCCTAGTATCTCTACCCATAACAATTCTGTTGGGGAGTTCATTTCTCTAATGTTTTCTAGATTATTTGACTTTATGTCCTCTTTGATATACAAAGCTTCCCCGTCTATAGATAGGATTGCCAAGTATAACTTACCTCCGCAGCGGGGACTCACGGATGGATCTCGGAGAGCGCCGCAGCACACTGGGGGCAGGGCCACAACCATTCGAGGGGAAACCATAGAGTTTCTCCTTGGATGGCCGTGGCTCCGCCCCCAGTGTGCCCGGTGTCATAACGTCACTTCCTGGTGACGTGCACGCCGGGGTGGGGTTCCCCCCGGGGCCCGATTCCACGGTGGTGGAAATCGGGCCTCCAAAGCGGGGGTTTACCCGCCCCCCGCCCCCACTTGGCCGACCTATCTATAGAGCTTATAACCAGAGGTGACTGTACCCCGTTGATTTTCCCCATTCTGCCATGTATCTGAAACACCCACTACATCTAAAAATTCATGTAGAACCAAGCACTCCAACACCTCCATCTTAGCTTGCATTGTTGTGAGGATAAAATGGAGGAGGAGAGAACAATATACATTACCCTACCTTCTTCAGACAAGCAAGAATAAAAATTTGATATGTTTCAATGCGTGATTTCTCTCTCTAGGTAGGAACATGGACATTTTCCTGTTTGCTCCACACAGAATTAAATTGTAATTATTATTTAACTGTTACATTACTCACCCACTTCTGACTAAATCGTAGTTTGGTGATCCAAAATCAGAGTTTGGTGATGCTATGCATGTGTCCACAAACACTAACAAATCAGCATCACTGGAATGCAGACTGACTTGTGCATAGAGAGTTTGGTTCAAGTCTACGTAGTATGGAGAACTGGGTATGGGACTGGAGAATGAATCAGACTCATAGAAAGACATGCTGAGGTTGTATCTACCCAGAGCAGTTGTGTTCTGTGCGACATCCTTTTCTGTTATGTACATGACTTCTACAGTTGAATTGTTTTCCATTATACATTTCACAATAATCTCAACACGCTTTTGGCGGGTGATCACATCACCTGCTGGAGATGCTGTGATGGTGTTGGTATAAGAAATGGTGTGATTTTGGCTCTGCATAAAACAGGAATAAAACATGTAATACAAATGCCACTCTTGATGAAGGAAGTGTATTGTCAAAAAGTGAGTCCTAGGTCAAGTTTTAGACTTCCACAATTAAACGAAAAGCAACGATCAAGTGTCCCTACTTTATTGTAACAAATATTCGGTTAACTGACTGAAGACTGATCCATCCTTTTTAGTTCAGAATCAGATATTTGGTGATTGTTCATTTATACATGAGAAAAATCTCTTCAGATAATTGGCATTTGAATCCTTGAACAACACATAATGTTATCAATTCTGATGAAGCAAACTGCTGCCCATGAAAGCGATGTCGTGGATGTTGTCAACGTCCTACCAAGTCACTGCCAGAATTTATGGATTATTTCCATTACAGCATGAAGCCATGCAGTTGCAAGGAAAGTGGGAGTGCCCTGTTGCATTTTGAAAAGTGCTGTGAGGCCTTAAGGCTGGAATTCTATATGCAGCTTACCCACTGGTTTTCTAATAAAACAAATATGTTAAACTATATGGTGCTCTTTGGATCTTGGCATTACTCTCTAACAGAATATTAAGCACAGTGATACGAGGCTCATTAATTTCAGTGGATCTTACAGTGTTTGCAAAATTTGTGAAATTACAGATTAAGGCACAACAGCATGCTTTGTCCCTTTTCTGTTTCTCCTGTCTGCACTATGACATATATGTTCCTCAGATACACTCATGGTGTCCCTAACAATATATATTTTTTTGTTATTGCATCCCTTAAATAGGGTTCTTATAGTGCTGCTGATCTGCATGAAAAACGTGCACTGAGAGAAGTTCAAAGTGAAAAGTGGCATTCACTGCTTGCCAGCTAGCACATAAGCATAATTTGCTGGTTTGGACTTGGGTAGGTAATCTTTTAAAGAATTAGATCAAAAATTAGTGGGGAGGGGAATGGTGTAAAGGGCAGTGGCAAGATGGGGTCAGGTCCAGGGACTCGAGGCTAAACTGTCAGGAGAACAATGTGATGGAAAATAGAAGAAGAGTGGGTTTTTATACCCTGCTTTCCTCTACCTTAAGGAGTCTCAAAGCAGTTTACCATCATCTTTACCTTCTTCTCGGCCTGAGAAAGTTCTGAGGGAATTGACTGGCCCAAGGTCACCCAGCAGACTTCATGTGGAGGAGTGGGGAATCAAACCCGGTTCTCCAGATTAGAGTCCACTGCTCTTAACCACTACTTCATGCTGGCAGACAACAGGCTCACAGTAGTTTGATTTAGATTATTTTGGCTTTGGCTTGCTTTCTAGTTTGTTTTTTTTTACCTCTTTAATCGTGCCACAGCTGTTGAATGGAAACGAAAACATCACTGGGTTTGAGGCATTAGGCCTGCAAGCAGGATCATTCAGCGCCAAGTCATTTTCATTATAGCCAAGTAAATCCAAATAAGACTTGCTGAGGGTGACTGTGATCATGTCTGAAGAACATGTGAGAGATGCTAACAACAAAAAAGGGAAAAACCAATATAACCATACAAGTAAAAAAACAACTAGAGTAATGCCCTCTTTGTTCTTAATGGGCTCTAGCACCGCCTCTCTGAAGAGATGGAGACGTTGCTAGAATCTCAGTGCAGAAGATATGCAAATTCTTTGCCTGGCCACATGCTGAATGCAACCTGGATGCATACAAATAAAATCATCTATCCAGAAGTTGCAAAGAAGTTCTGCAATTACAGAATTATTTAAACTTGGAACAGTATAATTTTTTTATAATTACTGTTCTGCTTTTCAACAACTTGTTTTTTGCACAATTGTTTACTTTTTTTTTTTACTAATTTTGATGTCATGCTGTGCGCACGCACACACACACACATGGAATGCATATAGTACACCAGTGTACCTCTGGTGTGTAGTGCAACCAAGGTAGTCTGGGAAACAAGACACTTATCTACTCTTTCCATATCCTCATCCAACCCTCCTGTCAACACTGTGGAAATCACATGACTTTTAGATCTGCATTAACTTGCAATGTGCAGAAGGAGAAGGCACATAAAAACTCCCATTACCCAGAAAACTGGGCATGCTGAGGGTGGAAGGAGGGAGAGGTGGAGTTCTGTTGAACTCTGTGGGGTTTCCCTCGTGGGACAGATCTGGGTAAGGTTTGTATCCTTACTGCTTGCCGTGTTTGAGACTCACTGCTACTCTTCTTTCCTCCACCTATATGTGTTCCAGTATAATTAGGCACAGAGAATTCACTTAATATAAATAATTAAAGAAAAATGCAAAAATATGTAATTAGTAAACTAATCTTTAGTCTCCACATTCAGTTATAAGACTGCATGACACACAACAATGGAATTAGACTTACTGTTGGGCTGTGGTGTTGGTACTGATATACTTGTGTAGTGAGCAGAAAAGCCCCTGTAAGAATTGGCATAATCTGTAGACAGCACAACAGTCATAAAGTTGGAAGAAGACTCAAATGTTGGCTTGATAAGGCCGCATACTTGTTTGATTAAGCCAGAGTTTGTCGTTGCGCCATCATAGATGGCAACAAAGTCAAATCTGCAGTTTTCATCCATTTCTAGGCTATGGATCAAAGAAATGAATAGTTTCAGAGAAGGAATTGCGGTGGCAGGGGTATTTAATACAGTGCAGTAAGTATCCTCAAAGCTGAATATATTGGCCAGGATCCAAAAAAACTGCTTAGGCTTCTGAAAGAGGCTTATTTAAGCCAACTAGATTATTTGATTTCTTTCTTAGAATAGCTGATGCCTATTCTATATGATAAACAGCTTTGCGAGTTTCCTCAATTGCAAAACTGGTTCCTAGCATGTGACACAGGAATTTGCTGTTTCAGGAGCATGTCTGAAGTCATTATGGTCATGGATTCATAGAACTACATGAGTTTTTGGATCCTAGTCATTTTCTCAGAAATAGCCTGTGGCAGAGTAAATCTGTAACAAAACAAACATATCTGTCATAAAGATAGACCTCCATTTAAGTAAGAGTAATTTTTTTCCTGTAAGGTTTTGACCCAGAAATTTAAGAGTACTTAGATTTTCATTGTTTTTCACAATGGAGCATTACATATGTGCCAGATGCTGGGGCCAAAACCAGGTGATGATGACCATCACTTTCATGTCCTGTTTGTGAGGCCCTAGAGACCTCTGACTGGTCACTGCTGGAAAAAGAATGTTCAGTTAGATGATCCAGCAGGATATTTACTAACTAGGTGAGGCAGAGTGGGATAAACCAGCTCCTCAGACCCAGGTTTTCAAATTCCTTTCCCTGCATTTGGGACCTAGTGGCAAAACATTTAGGATCTATAGGTCCTATAGGGTAGTGCTTTCCTATTAAGGATCAGATTACATGTGATGTTCTATGACAGGAATTCCTCCAAAATATTTGGTACTACAAAAAGCAACACAGAGGGTGTGAGGAGAGAATACAGATTTAAGTCTGCAACAGCGGGGAAGGGGTTATCACTCCTCCCTTGTGCTGTTTCCTGGTTAGAAAATGGTCCCTACTTGGTTTCATTTGGCAGTGAAAAAGACTAGCACAAAACAGGTAGATTTTTTTGGGGGGAGTTACCCTATCAGGGCTCAAATCCAGACTGAAAAGGCTATTTCAGTCAGAGACAGTGCTAAGGCGCCAGATCTTTGTCAGGTTCCCCATTAGCTGCCTTTTAGGACCAAATAAATTGGGACTTCAATCACTCCAATGTCACATTTAATTTGGCCTATGGTATTTTGAAATGTCATCATGTATTTTTGTACATTTTAAATGTAAATGTGAGCAGGCGCGTAATCTATGGGGGGGCGGAGGATCTTCAGCTCCTCCCGAACTTTTCAGGAAGGTGCTCAGCCTCCCCCGGGGACAACTGTCTGATTCCCTCCAGCCACTATGTTCAGCGCCTGGGTTGGGACAGGGAGGGAGGGAAGTTAGGGCGGGGGCTTGCTTCCTCTTGGAAGCGAAGCCCCACCCTCAGCTCCCAGCAGCCCTTAGTTCTGCCGGAGCTGGAGACTAGAGGGCTGCACGTGGACTGGCTTCCCTGGTTTCCCGCGTGCGCACACGCACACGAAGCAGCCGCAGGTAGGAAGCGTGCCTGCCCCGGGCTCTCCCGCAGTTCACTGCCTCCCTCCTCCCTGGGAGCGCAGGCTCGTCGCCCCCTTTTTAACCCTCCTCTGCAAGGAGCAAAGCGGGCAGGACGGGGAGCCTTCGTGGGTGGCGATGCACCTTCCTGGCTGACACTCCCCCCCCCACCATGGAAAATTCTCATTTCCTTTGCACCCGTTCTGGGTGCAAATCAGGGAAGTGAAAGTGCATGGGGGAATAGTCAGTAAGGGGGGGGCTGCAG